AAAAAAAAAAAAAAAAAAAAAAAAAAAAAAAAAAAAAAAAAAAAAAAAAAAAAAAAAAAAACTTCGTAATTGGATTAAAGTATAGGAATCGGAAACTAATACAGGTTTTATTGTCGAACATAACAATACGCCAATCACAAGGCATGACGTCATGTGATTCATCGTTGGGCATTAGTTGATATGCTTTGCTTGTCGTTAATGTTACCCTCAAATGACGTCAGAAGTAATCAAAGCTGCCCCTTTTATCTACCTATATGTGATATAACAAGTCTAATTCATGTTATGGCGATACCCTCACTAATTGGAAGCCATTTCATTATATACGTTACGTACATACGTGAATGAAATCAAAACCACTTGTTATGGACCTGAATAATTTTAACGTCGGGCGCATATCTCGGGGGTTGTCCAAAGTGCAGCATCCAATTCATTCTAGCCCCAAGAAGTAGTATGACATCAGCTTTCAGTAGAGCTTGTGTACGCGCAGTTGATACGCAGTACTCAGATTCGTCAGCTACCACTCCTTTACCTATTTTGGAAAATCAATTATTTATTAAGTACCAGTATAACCCCATCAACTCTATCGAAAACATCAAATAAATTTTATAAATATCAAATTTCATTTTATAAACATCAAATTTAATTTTGTAAATATCAAATTCAGTTTTGTAGATATTCTAGAAATAATACATGACTGGAAGACATTAAATTGACATGTATTTTCTGCATCTTCTTTTTTGTTTTTATTTTTGTTAATTTTAAAAGATAATAAAAAAAAAAAAAACGAAGTTTGGAAGAGAAATTGAATTTGATGTTTATAAGAATGAATTTGAAGATTATAAAATTGAATTTAAAATTCAAAACCTATATTATATTATAGCTTAAGTGTTGTGTATTAAATTGTAAAGTTTTATCAAAACCCAACAGGTAAAAACACACATAAGCACATATACATTTTAAAATAATTATCATTTCCCAAGATGCAATCTAAATCGAATACAGTTGAAAAACACTTTCAACATAGTCATTATAAATTCTTCATGAAAAAATTGAATGTGTTCGTTTCTAACCGGAAATCGTTCGATCTTAATAAACTTTTATTTATTTATTTGATAATTATTTTTGGCAATTTGATGTTTTTAATCAATTTTACTAACCCATTGGTGTGGGCAAGAAAGGTAATTTTGTGTTTTCCACTAGTTTTCGTATTGCCTCTTCGGCCTTGCCGTATGCGGCGCCTTTGCCTACTATGATCAGGGGTCTTTCTGCTTTGGAAAGTAATTCTGCCGCTTGATCTACTAACGCTGGATCGGGATGAGCCAGTTTAACCGTGTCTGCGCTGTAGTAGTCTAGTGGTACTTTGCCTTCGTCCACTTCTGCCTGAAACAATAGAATTGCTACAATTAAAGGCAATTTTCAGTAAGTTTTAGCTTAGAAAATTATTTTGTTTATTAAATTTTAATCATGTTAAATATGATTATTATAGAATATTATAAATGCGGCAACGAGTTTGATTATCTGTTACGACTACTCAATCATCAACTTTTCATATATGTAGAACATACATACTCACACCTACAGAAAAGGATATTATAAATTGATTTCCATCTAGAAAAAAAAAAACACTAGACCCTACTCTCTAGGGATGCCTTTTTTCTGTAATACATTAATGTGAGCGAGGCCGCGTCTAAAAGCTAGTTTCTAATACAAATATTTGAATTCCAACATTTACCATTAACAGAGTACCGGGCATGTCCAAATATGATACTCCGGGACGGCCGGCTGATGCAAGTCGCACAGCTTTCTCCACGTGTTGGGGGATCAGACGGGGGGAGGGCGGCCGGGCTGCATACTTGCAGTACATGCGACTAGAATCCACCTGTTCACAAAAAATAGAGTTCATTAATCAACTAGTAAAACCCCAGGCAAGATGTTGCATTTTATCTCACTCTTATTAAATACTAGATGTACCCGCGTACTAGTTGTACCCGTCCGCTTCGCTGGGCAATTAAAATTAACATTATTATTTCTCACCCCCACATCATTAACGCCCCCGCAACTGGTTAAGGGAGTCCAACACTCATATAAATATTAGCCTATCCATTAAGTACATGTATTTTCTACATGGATACCAAGTTTCAAGTTAATCAGATGCATGGTCCAGTAGTTATAAGGGAACATCCGTAAAAACCACTGTACATTTATATATTATTAGTATAGATGTACTATGTAATCATGGATTATTTATTGCAAATAGGCAGGGCGGTGGTACCCGCCTGCGCGGACTCACAAGAGGGTCTACCACCAGTAGATTTTCCCTAGGCTGTAGTGAGTCAAGAATTAGTGCCATATAATAATATAATATATAAGTTAGGGAAACCGTCACAACGATCTATGGCAATTGTGGCAAATTTTAATTTGGTCGAATAAATTACACGCTTGATGTTTTTTTTTTTTATTGCCCTTGTAGGCAGACGAGCATACGGCCCACCTGATGGTGAGTGGTTACCTTCGCCCATGGACTTCAGCAATGCCAGGAGCAGAGCCAAGCCGCTGCCTACTGTTTAATATCGACATCAAATAAACATTTCTTTTTAGACAATAATACGGCTACGAAAAAGTTTAGTAATAATTCTTTATAAGCACAGAGTGCGAATAGAGGAGTGAAATTGTAATAGTTTTGGTATAATGGAACAACCGTCATACAATTCAATTGAGACTTGGACCTTATGTCACAAGGTGGGTGGGTAATGGCCTTCAGTTTGTGTGAGCAACATCCCACTAATGGCGCGAGGTCGTTCACCCATCTTTGAAATAAAAATATTGCTAAACAAATGTTTAAAATGTAACCCTAATAAGGATTTCGACCCCTGTAAAGCAACTATTGACTAATTATCGGGGATCTTATCTTAAATATAATCTTCAAAGGTTAATAGTAACTTATGTTGTTATTTATCTTATCTTCTGTGACTTTATAGCAATAACCCGATTACACAAATCTAAAAAAATGATAATAAAATATTGAACTTTGATCAGGCTTGTAAAAATGGTCTTTTTCAGTTTTTAAAAGAAAACAAGTTTATTAATATGTACATAAAATTACAATGAGAATTAAACCCAAACAAGGCAGCACCGTGAGAACTCGTCCCTAGTATCAAACTACTTAAACAAAAAACGCAGTTTGAGGTCACCGAAATACCACAATTTTATATTAGAAATCTGTATAATAAAATAATGTATTACATTTAGATGATCTAGTGATGGCTTCAGCCTTAATGGATTGGCAATTAATGGTGGCGCACAATAAAATATGCTAATGTAAAAGCCAGCATTTGTGCCTAATCATAAACTTTATGTCTCATACCTGAGGCCATTCCTGGAAGCCACCAATAGCTTCATGATCTTCAGGACACGAGCCAGCTATAACTACCAATGGCCAACAGTTTACTTGAGCATTGGCCATTCCCCCAATGCAGTGAAGTAGTCCCGGCCCTGATACCACTAAACAAACACCTGGCTTACCTAAAAAAAAGGAAACATTCCTATTACACTAACAGGTTCATTAAAATCATTTTTTAATTTGCATATTAAGATCTTTATAAGCACTTTCAAACATCATTACTCTGCCATTGATTTGCAATGCAGTTTCACCACTGAAATTGTCATGCAATTTAGGTAACATACAACATTTTCAATTATACATTTTTAAATAACTAATAAACTTAGCATGGATAACTTTTTTTTTTATGATTGAAAGATTACTGGTGACCCGGAGGCCTTTCCAGTTTCACTAGGACATGCGGGCGAGCAAAGGCTCAGCCAGGAGGGGTGGGATTTGCTAACAATTACCCGAGCGCCTCTGAAGGAGACCTAACAACTCAAGAGCAATTGCTTCACGAATGAATCTACTACCGGATCGGAATCGCGACCCACTGAGAAGATCCGGCGAGAAACTCAGCGGTCTGATGCATGGGTTAGGACATGGAGAACTACAACCATGTTTCCATTACTGGACACAGTATAAATATCCATTTAGTAAAGTTGTGTTTTTAACTTTAGTTTTATTAATTTTTTATTAGTTTAATTTTAAGCCCAGTTAAGTTGAAACTTTGATAATGTCTCAAAATGGGCCGTTTGTATCTATGGACTCCTGTAAACACTTTATTCCAGGTAGGCCAAAAGCTTGTCAACCTATCCACAAAAAAATAGGGACTTGATACTTGTTTTGTACTCAAATATTTCTTAATCTTTAAAAACATGTTATTATTATGTGTGAAATGAAATATGTACATAATATTGTATGTAAATTCTTTTTTGTTTTTCTGTGAAAAGTGTAAAATCAACTTGGTTTATACTCTTAGAGTAAGATACAATTTATCTTTATTACATTTCTTTGTTTTACATTCTGGCTGGGTTTAATTTCCTTAGTAAATATAGCAAATTATATTATCAGTATTTTATAAAGCATCTATTGGTAGAGTAATAAATACATTTGGGTATAATTGTTAATTCAACAAACATGGTAAGAACATTTATCATATTTCTATCTAATTCTGACTTTTCTAAATTTCAGCCTCAACGGAATCTTTCATTTCTCTAGAGAAGTTTAGTTAGGCCATTCACGGTTTGGCTTATTATTAATACCATATAAATAATGTGTACAGCGTAGTGTAAATATTGTGTACCATATTTGTTTTTTTATTCATAAAAGTATACCGATTTATGATGTCAGATTATTAGTGATTATTTGATGTTGCACTAACCTGTTAGATAGCCTGTAGCTTGCGCAGCATAGCAGGCAGCTTGTTCATTGCGCATACCAATATACTTTAGACCAGCTGATTGGAAAGCCATTGCTGTTTCAATGACTGGTATCCCAACTATCCCAAATACATATTCAACACCCTGTGGAAAGTATTACCATCTTTTTTTATATCTTTTCGTTCTTTGATTATAATTGTGTGTAATAAGATTTATAAACTAGTTAGATATATCTTAGATTTATATATTAACCATTGAAGCCCAAAATTAGTCATTATGTTTATAGTGATATTTAGGATTTATGATTACGTTAAGTGTGAATAAATTGAGTTAGTGAATAAGTTTGGACCCTAATTAATTAGTCTTGATGATTTCTAACTTTCTTGAAATGCTGATTTGATTAGTTTCCTTTTTGCCTTCTAAGGTATTTCTCTTTGTATTATTAGTTTGAAGATTAACGTTTGAATAAAAATTAATAATGAATATGAAATGTGTTTTGAAAGGTATGTGTAATTAATACATAATGACTAATTGACTGACTGACTGACTTGAATGACTAATACATAATCAATAATGATAATTCTGAGAATCTTCAATAATGTGAATAACGTAGGTATGTATTCGAAATTAAAATGGTCCCTATTTGATCTGCATAGTTTTTAACACTTGAAAATAATATCTAATTTGTGATGTTTCCAAATAAGAAAAAAATAAGAAGGCACCTATATGAGTGAGTTTAATGTTTATGCCATAAGTATGAATACGTATATTAAACCAAATAAGAATTGCTTACATACCTGTTTCTTCAAACTTTCAGCTAAGATTGTATTTCCGTCGATACCCATGCTGCCGTTTAATTTTTGAGATACGCAAAATGATCTTCGAAATACCAATTGACTTAATCTGCCAAGTAACATTATCATTTAAAAAGTATCGTCGTTGATCTGAAGTAAACACTGAGACGTATAATAGTTACAATGGTAAAATATCTGAAGGGGGGAGAAGCGATCAAAGGTCGAAAAACAGACCGCAGTGCTCTAAGGTGACTATTACAAAATAAACAATAAAATAAAATAACTTTAACTTACTTGCATGTGAACACGATATAAAATGGCTTAGCATATCGCGTTTTTATCCTTATCTTAGAACAATATGTAATGTTCCATGCAAAATCATTGCATTATCGCTATGAACTTTGTATTTTGCGCGTCTTTTGGTTTCCTTTCTTTTAATTTTTTTTAATGGATTTTATGACCTGGTAACCAAGACCGATAAGACAAGTCCTACTTTAATTTTTATGAAAACTTTTTTTATATGAAAAATGATATTATAATGAAATGAAGTAGATTAATATGAAACATGGCAAGAATTGAAAACGAAATAAAATGAAATGAGAGGAAATTAGATGAGATGAGATAAAATATAATCTCAGTGAAATGATGATCATCATGCCCGGTCATCGTTCTCGTCGAACTCGTCGCTTGCGACGAAGGGCTCAACAAGTAAATTAACCCTCAGTTACAGCCCACTGAGTTTCTCGCCGGATCTTCTCAGTGGGTCGCATTTCCCATCCGGTAGTAGATTCTGCGAAGCACGGCTCTTGCTAGGGTTCGTGTTAGCAACTTCGTCAGGTTTGAGCCCCGTGAGCTCACCTATTAGTTAGGGTAACGCTGAAATAGCCTCTCAAGGTTCTCAGCTAGGTAAGATTAAAAAAAAAAGGTGGTCATTTACCGAGACTTTTTCAGTGGACTTTTTAGAGAATCCCGAGAAGTTACGTTCAGCGACTTTGTTTCATTTTCCCACATTTGTGCACTTTCACAGATACTAAACAGTTAAAAAACCACCGTTATTACACATTTAAACCTGAAGAAACACTAAATTGACAAAATAAAACAAATCACACAACTTCACTTCGCGCATTCCCGCCAAAATTTTCCTAAAATTGAAAAATTGATATTTTTTTATGGCCTGGTAATCAGACCTTTAAGCCAAGTTTTATTTCTTATTTCATTAATTATATGAAAAATGATAATTATGAAGCGAAAAAAGATGAATTTGAGTTTATACTAAAAATGTCTATTTTTTGTTAATTTCTTTAATGAAAATACGCGCAATGCTATTTACGTACCTACCTTATAAATTAGATCAATAAATAATTGTAGAATTAATGAGAGAATGATACCAACCAAGTACATGGATATGACATGTTTTTCTTCAAACGATGTATACAGAGTGGTAGGAAAATTTATCTTAATGCAATTATTCTATTGTAAACACTAAAAACAGTAAATAGTCAATTAACGATACTTTTTATCGTTAGTTTGACCAATATCTTCATATTTTATTTTGGAATTTAATAGAGTAAGATTCATCAAGAGGAATAGAATGGCTATGTCCGTATACTGTAAAGGTACTTAATTTGTTTTATATTATTAATTTCGTAGATTAGAGTTTCTGACAATATTAATTTCTTGGGTTTCTTATTCTCAAAATTTCCTAAAAAAAATTATTAGCCATTTGAAAAATTACTTGTTTATGTGGGGCCACGTAGTGTGGGTAGGCCTCCCACAAGGTGGGCCGACGACCTATTGAGGTTCGCGGGGATCCGCTGGATGCAGGCAGCGCAGGACCGGTCTTTGTGGCGAGGTTTGGGGGAGGCCTATGTCCAGCAGTGGACGTTCATGGGCTGATAGAATAGAATAGAATAGAAAAAAATATGGGGCCACTGTTCTAAACAAACACAAGTAATACGGCTGTGGCTATATAGTTTACTCAATGAAGCGTTGAGATCATAAAACCACATTATGTCAGAGAAACAACGTTTAATTCGATGGAAATTATCTAAACAAGGTTTTTTGTGCTCATTGCGGTTTTTGTTTCATATTGCACTGGTATCGTCTTTTTACTTCCTCACAAGGCATATGACTGGAAGAGAGTTGCTAAAAATAGACAACAATGGAAGATGTTAGAGGAGGCCTAGGTATGCCAATAGGCACATTGAGCTGAGAGACTCTGTAAAGTATACCAACAATTAAACGTTCTAAAAGTTCAAGATAAATGGCTCATTGATTGAAGGCATATGAACAAGCTTTTTCAATTTTGCCTTCACGAAGACTGCGTACGATATGGTGTGAATGTTTATTCCAAAAAAAAAAAACAGGAAAAGAATATTTTTTAAGGCTCAATGGAACTGAGTCTTTTGTTGTATAAATATTGGTTTCCAAGTCAGTTTTAATGCCTATCTCGAAACACAAATATGCTACAAGAACAAAGTAAATAATTGTTTACTTTATTTTCAAGTTTAATATCTACTACGGAACCCTTCTTTGTGCTTTGTCGGATTCAGTTTTCTCAGTATTTTATTACTGACCTGTTTTCTTTAACCATTAGCTAATTTGGTTGTTTTTTTTATAGTGTCGGAAACGTTGCACTTGGAAGATAAAATTAAAGTGTCTATAATCAATAATTAAGAAAAAAGGACCCTTTCCAAAGGTCCACATTAAATACGACTATAAAATTATACTCGTATTATTTTTGACTTTTGGCCCCTGATCGACTTTTACTAGCAATTTTTTATGAAATTTTTACAGAAATTACTTTTCATTTGATTTTACCAGTTTAATTTTGATAGTAAGTATTTATTTGCCTATATATATGATATGAATCTATGCATTAAAAATAAGAAATATATTTCTTGATTAAATTTTGAGATTTAAAAATTTTTTATTCAAATCACAGATGATATTATATGATGATGATATACCTACTTATATCCAAACTATTATTTCATTTCTTCCATGTTACATTTTTGCGAGTTACAAAATTGAAACAACGTTTATTGCTTCAATGCGTACTCCCAGATACTATCTTCCATGACCATAAACTACACGAAAATATGAATCTAAGTTCAAGATAAACCTAACAATAAACCTTGTTTTTTCTGATACCATGATCTTAAAAACGTGACCATATTCTTAACCTTAGTCAGTCTCATTATTTTTTGAAGTCTTGACTGTAGGATTAACTAGTGAGTGTAGTTGGATAGTTTAGATGAAGTATAATTATATTTGAAGTCGTCGTGATCTCGCGGATAAGTCGCCCGGTGCAGTCGATGCGACTGTGCCTTTGTTCGAATCCTGCAGGCCGGTACCAATGTTTCTAATTTTAAAAAAAAAGTGTGGCACTCGGGAACTGCCGCGGTAAAGCTATTGCATAGCATTTTTTATTAACTTAACAACGGCTGCCTCACCCTTCAGACAACGGTTGCCCCAACCTTCATACAACGGTTGCCCCACCCTTCAATAAAACCCCTCAATCGTAAAAATAGTTGTCTTTATATACATATATAAGATTCGCGAAATCCGAAGAAAATACTATATTGAAATTATTTATTAACTAAAAATCGTTATACATACTTTAAGCTAATAATATTTTCATTATGTTTCAATGACAATGATTGTACCAGAAGGTAGAGTACTAATCATTGTATAGTCTAACCTACGTGCTTTTTCCGCATTCACAAATGTAATGCGGCACGTGCGCTATGTATGTTGTAAAATGGAGTGTTGCGATAAACGATGTAACGCCATGCTCATAACCGATTTGCGTCACCGAACCTACCGACCAATGTTTTTGTTAGTTTACGTTTTTGTTCCATAATCAAAAACACACAAAACAATACTTATTGTTTTTGTACCTACGGTGTTTAGGTATTGGCTGTTAAAACCACTTGTCAATAATATTGAAAGGGTTTCACAAAAAAAATAATGATTCAATCGGTTATTCGTGGAATTCACAATAATTGGGATTCGGCAAGTAAGTTTTCGATCGAAAAGTGTTCGAAATTCTTAGTTTGTTTTAACACCTAATCCCCAATTTATTTTTTAGAGTAGTAGGTAGGATGATTAGGGCATCATCTAATGCTACGAGCCTCATTGTTTTCGTAAGTTAATTATTATTGGTCTACCAAGCAAAGTAGCTTGCTCGATGGAAGATATTTTTTTTGCTCGTTATCCCCACTTTTATTGTACGACTATCTCACTCTTTGAACCAAATAGGATGTCGGCCATCACTATAACTACGCAAGTTTATGAATTAAGCAAGTTTCATTTTATTACGCTTCTTATTCTTTCATCGTATAAGTCGTTTATGAACACTTGTTGGGTACTTATTTCCTTATAAAAATGGTATCTGTCTACAGTATTTGATCCTGCCATGGCCGCAGCACTTGATGCGAGTATTTATTTAGGCCAAACGAAGTTGCACGGTACGAAAAAAGCTAGGGGTGGAACTTGGTACAAGCAATTTCGCGCTCTGAGTCTCTCATCGGAAGAAGGCACCAGAGAATAGGTAGGAAAAAAAAGCAATTTAGGTAATTTTTTTTTTCTACCTAAGCTGATAGCCTTGAGAGACTATATCAGCGTCGCCTTAACTAGTAGGTGAGCTCACGGGGCTCAAACCTGATGATTTTGCCCTTTTTTTTTTCCGGGCCGGGGGCCGAACCTTCTACGAGGTCCCCGCGCATAAGAGGCCCGCGGGGTATGTGAGACTCAACGATCTGCATGGTGTTGTGAGCAGACCGCGGGCCCAAGGATTTTAGGGCCCACCCACTAAACGACTCCCCTGCACTCTTACACCCGACGTCCGATCCCCTCCGAGGTCAGAACCCAGATGAGGTAGGGGGGCTACCGCAGTCAACACTACAATCAGACGGCGCGGCTCACCCCAAGGATGCCCAGCCGACGGAGCCTTCGAGGCGAATCGAGCTGTTACGGTGGTAACACCGACAGCTCATAATGAATCTCAATCCAATCTCACCACACATACAGCATCACCTTATTGCGAGTTAACCTGGGTTTCGCCACAGTCTGTGAAGCCTGACCGCCCTTTGACCACGATCTTTTTCGCACGTTCTTATCGTACGTGATCCACTTTTGATCACCAGTTATCAGCTTCTTCAAAAACGAATCGGTTTTATTACGTCGTAATAAAGAATCACAAATGAGTATATGGTTCATTAGGTTTCTTTCAATGAGCTCGTGAGGTACCCAAATATCGAGCTCTTTTGTGTACCTAGTTTTTTCAAATGCTCCAACACTATTTTGTGGTCAATTCCCAGTTCTTCAGCTACGTAGTAACTACTGATATGTCGATCTTGCTCCACTTTTTCAAAAATGGCAACCATTTTATTTGTAATAGGGCGACTAGAGCGACGTGCATCTTTGATATCAAAATTTTCGGATTGAAAACGCTTAAACCAAATTTGTGGTACTCTCACAGACACTGCACTAGGTCCATAAACATCGCAAAAAATTTTCGCGGCTTGCGTTGCATTTGTACCTTTTTTGTAGTAAAATTTTAAAATGTATCGAATTTCTTAATTAGATTCACTCATCTTGAGAGTACAAAAAATAAATAAAAATCACACATTTTCCTAAATTGAATTTGGAATTATCTTCTTTAAAATTTAAACTTTTAATGACACCAAAACCAGCCAAATAGTATAGCCAAAGAGATTTCATTACAAGTTCATACATACTATAATGTGAAGACTTTTCCCAACTTTTTCCAACTTTTTTTCAACCTATTATGTTGTTACTGATTTAATATTTTTACTAGATGATGACGGAGCTTTGCTCGGTTTTTTTTTTGATAACGCCATCTTGTTGTGTCTTTAAAGCGGTTAGTTACCCTCAATTAAGAAAAATAGTATTATTATTTGCCAATAGATGTCGGGAAGAGTTGATTATTAAAAACACGAATAAAACAACATTTTCTGAAAATAAATTGTAGCTAGATCGATTTATCGCCCCTGAAATCCCCTGTATACTAAATTTTATGAAAATCGTTGGAGCCGTTTCCGAGATTCAGATTATACCTATATATATAACTAGTCTAGATAACTAAAGAAAAAACAAAAGAAAACGAAGAGCACGCAAGACTGGCTGGCGGCGCGTGAAATCGACTTCATCCGGCACGAAGACTGGCCCTCCTCCAGTCCAGATTTGAATCCGTTAGATTACAAGATATGGCAACACTTGGAGGAAAAGGCGTGCTCAAAGCCTCATCCCAATTTGGAGTCACTCAAGACATCCTTGATTAAGGCAGCCGCCGATATTGACATGGACCTCGTTCGTGCTGCGATAGACGACTGGCCGCGCAGATTGAAGGCCTGTATTCAAAATCACGGAGGTCATTTTGAATAAACTTTAGTGTCATAAGAATCTATGTTTTGTTAAGTTCATTTTGGTATATGAATGGTTACATAATGAATAAACTTGTTTCAATTATTTTACATTAAACATGTGACAGAATTTATGACCTGACTAGGTACATATATACAAGAATTGCTCGTTTAAAGGTATAAGATTACCTGCCCTGCAGTGCACAAAAAAGAGCTTAAGTAGCTTAGCGTTTTTAAAGTATTTTTATATTCCATATTTTTATTTGATAAAACCTAATCAGTTTACATAGCAGTGGGGCCCCATTTTTTAATTTGCCCCAGGGCCCTTGGTTACCTAGCTACGCCACTGATCTTGCCGACCGAGAGGGCTGGTGGGCGTAGCGCCGATGACCGCCGGTCCGGCGTCCCGAGGGGGAGGGTGATGGGTGAGATGTGCTCCGCACTAAACGCTTCAATTTCCTCCCTTTGCCTCTTCATGAGTTCTGTCTCATGCGAGGTTTGGACGTTGGTTGTTGAGCGACAGGAGGTTTTAGTCAGTTCGACTCTAACATGCTCCGCCCTCCATCCCCAGTGGAGGGCGGAAGTCCGGCGAGTTCCTACTGACCAAAAAAAAAAACGCCACTGGTCTATTATATTTTATTCTATTATGTACTTTTTGAGATTTGCAATATTTTCATTTCACAATTTGTTTAAATTTATGTAACAAAACGTACAAACCATTTTTAAGGTTTCAACCTAATTAGAGATAAGCAACTAAGATATTAATGAGTTTTTAATTTACTTTTAATTTTTAGTGTTAACACTGACTTCGAAATTCTTAATTGCTCGTGGTTCGACACGCGCTTGACGGTTCTTTTTACTTGTGTACCCACATATCTATTTACAATATTATTTTTATTTATTTTTTATATGTGTGAATGCAATGGACTCTTTCAATTTGATTATCATCATAGCTTGTACTATTATGAAATACTAGCGGCCCGCTCCGGCTCCGCTCGGATCTTTAACGAAAATTTCAACGACGTTGTTTTATTTTTTTAAATAAAAGAACACTTATTGCGGCATAACTGTAATAGTTAGACATATGCGGTCGCGACACTTTTTGTAAATAATAATGTGTTCTACAAAGTCGTAGTGTACATTATTCTATTCTATCATCAATAGTTTTCCCAGGGCACGCGGCGTAAAGAATATTTTGGGTAATTTTTTTACACCTTGGGTTACATTTTTGGAGTTTTAGTAAGGATCTCTAATTTTTTGCAAAAAAGATTATAGCCTATGTCACTCGGGAATAGTGTAGCTTCCAAACAGTGAAAGAATTTTTCAAATCGGTTCAGTAGTTTCGGAGCCTATTCAATACAAACAAACAAATCTTTCCTTTTTATAATATTAGTATAGAAGTATAGATTATTGATTATAATAATTTAACATAATATTTACTATGTATGGTATGGCATGGGCTTGGCGAACTTAGGAGGTATATAACGGGACTCTTAGAATAACTTTGTAAGCTCATCTCGTTTCGAGTTCATTAGATTTGTTTTAACAAGTAGTATTCACATTTCATTCAATTTATAGACCTATAGGTACGCCTTTTTTAAAAGAACGTACGGCACCGATATTTGTTCATTTTATAAAAAAAGGAAGTTCACGTTTGATCTGTCAAACCATTTCTAGAATCATCGAGAACTGAATTTAATTTGGATATTTGAAAATTAAAATCGTCACACTAGTGATATTTTTTTCTGGGCCATGACCCAACTATTGCGAAGCTGTCATAGATGCTCACGGATATCGAAAGAGGAGCACAGCCGCGCAATTTCCTACCGCAAAATGTTTTTCGTAAGCTCTGTTTGAAAAAGACACATCTTGGAGCTACGGAAACATTGTATATAAACTTTACTTCTAGAATTTCAATGTATGTAAGAAAAAAAAATCTGCAAACGCACAATACATAAAGTTACAGAATTTAGATAAAACTCATGAGCTGTACAGTGGTGTTAAAGATAAATTCGATATTGTGGTATTTTAAATAGAATTGAGCATTCCTTTCTAACATAGCATGGTACTCTAATGCACTAAACGTAATGCAAAGGCTATAAAATTGCACAGAAACTTGATTGATTTTTTCAGCGTAATGTGGAATGTGTAATTTACCTGAAATCGTGTACAAATCGCACAAACATTCGCAATACAGGTTTTTTGTTTGTCACATCAGAAGTATAACATTTCCATAGGAAACCGTTTGTTGACGATATAACGTCCGCACCGGTTAGGCGGGTGTAGAAGGCATAGAAGCACATTTAATTTCGCACGTTGCTACACACAGTCGCTCATTACGTTTGGCGTACTGCTACCGCTCATTTGGCTCCCTTCGAAATGACCGCGTTCTAATCTTAAATTGTGATTTAAAAAAGAACAATAATCAAGATGGCCAGAATTATTTTGAAAAAGTTTGGTGAGTTCCATATTATTTTTATGAAAAATTACAAAGGTACTACTCAACATTTTGGAAACTACCAAATATAAATACAAATATTTTTCAGATGAACATAATTTTGATTGTAATGATATATTATAATATATGTAATATAATATACTAATGATACGTAATATAATTGTTAGATATTAAATTTAAACTTCTTTCTACGGGATAGAAATATTAGTAAGATTAACCAACGGGTACTAAATATCATTAATTTAGGTAATCCTTAAAATTTTCCTGAAATGTTTACATTTTTGAATCGACTTCATTACTTATAGAAAACTTTAGTAGGGATATATTACTTAAGATACACATTTTATAAAAACTAAATGTAATAAACAATAACATTGATATTCGTTAGTTTTTATTACTTACATCGTTTCTACAAAAACACGATATTTTAAAAACAATTACACTGCTTGTTATTAAAACATTTTTTTTTTATTTGTGACGATTCGATGGTATGCAATCATTGATTTCGCCTGATTTGTGATTAAATCCTAACCGTAAACCTAACCGTATGAATTAACCGAATCTAACCTACACCTAACGTGATTATTGAGATTCGTGTCATTTCTAAAATTGAAAATGTAGCTTCTAGTATTTATCCAATTTCCATAGCTATAGCATAGTTTTAAAAGAAAGACAAATCACGAACGAATATTCTTGCAAAAATGAACGTCATCAACTACGTTCATATTTTTAGGCGAATTGCGAATTGTCTAATAGTGTACGGAAATTGTATGTATTAAATGTGTATAATAATAATTTTTCATCACAGTATTATAATATTTTTTAAGGTTTTCGTTAGCTATTTATGATAGCTTTCTTGTTTATTCTCATGTATATTACTTTAAAGTTACATTTTCTGATACTTCTTATATTTCTAGTGACTACCGCCCAGAAAAACTAAGTTTTTCAAACAGATTTTCAAGTTTCAATCGTTATTAAACACACTCGATTAATTATTGAATTCCAGTTTATATCCTTTTGATGGTGGTATTTTTTTGTTGTTAACTGAAAATTTGCAATAAATAGCTTAGGATTTTTTCTTGTTATTTCATTAAGCAAGTAGCTTAGGGAGTTAAAGCAGTTGATAGACAAAAAACATCGTTAATACGTCGCCAATTGTACGCGCCTAGTTAAAATAATGATTGTGTAATTATTGATATAGGGTGACGTATTTTTTACGGGAATGTTTGTCTTGTAAATAAGTACTAATGTAAATTATTAAATAGTCAAATGGGACAGTCTTAAGACTTCAAAGATGATTTTTTTTATTACTTCTTGTGAAGTGCCCATTCTAATCGGGTTAGAGATGCTCCATTACTGAAGTAATAAATACCACTTTTTATGCAGCACTAATTGGTGGTACATTCTTCGTGAAAAAAATCAATGATGTCCTTTCTATTCCGCGGAAGCGCGACTGGTTGGACCTTTTGAGTTGCAATCTAATCTTCATAATTTTCTTATTTTTTAATATGAATGATTACGATGATCGTCAGTAAGGTTTCCATCATATGCGTTCATTTGATGAATTTTATATGCATCTTTTTTTTTTATTGCCCTTGTAGGCTGACGAGCTTGCGGCCCACCTGATGGTGAGTGGTTACTGTTGCCCATGGACTTCAGCAATGCCAGGGGCAGAGCCAAGCCGCTGCCTTCCGTTTAATAGGTACTCTCCACTAGCCTCGTTTGAAGAAGGGGAATCATCTCAATACCCTGTGGGCCTTGGAGAGTCAGTTTTTATTTTTATTTTTTATTTATTGCTCAGATAGGTGGACGAGCTCACAGCCTACCTGGTGTTAAGTGGTTACTAGAGCCCATAGACATCTATAACGTAAATGCCGCCACCCACCTTGAGATATAAGTTCTAAGGTCTCAGTATAGTTACAACGGCTGCCCCACCCTTCAAACCGAAACGCATTACTGCTTCACTGCAGAAATAGGCAGAGCAGTGGTATCTACCCGTGCGGACCCAAGAGGTCCTACTACCAGTAAAGAAGATCAAGGTTCTCACTTTAAGCCTTGATATCCCAAAGGTTAAATTCACTTCTTAAACTTCTGAACCTTTCAGTGTAGAAACAGCTTAATTATTCACTGTGAATATGGTCTCTCAAATAAATAATATCTTTTATGTATTACTTACTCTTTAGTAAAACGATGTTTATTTTATTACAACGTTATGATCATGTCATATTATATTTAACACTTAAATGCATCTATGACTATGACACGTAATGCAATCTGTTTCTGCTAAGCGCACGTATAATTGTATCGGACAAGAAAATATTATCATTCTACAATGTGAAAATGTTAATAACACTAATTGTGAACAGTATGTGAATTATTACACAGTATTTAAATAACAGGAAATTTCACTATTGTATAATGTATTATAGCATCTTGCAATTTTCAAAGATTAGTGCAACATCGATAGGTATCTAATTTTCAGAGGACGATAAATAAAGCTCACAAACTTCGTTATTAAAGTTGGGTGGTTCAAGACTGTCGTACGAAATAGAGCCAATACCTATTAATACAGGCGAAACGTGAAATACCAGCCGTCAGATTTTTTTGCGGAGCGTGATGTAGAAGAGGGGATAAAAACTTGTCTTTGAGGTAGGTCATCGAACAGGGAATTGAACTAAGATCAATCATCAATATGGTTTAAAAAGCATTAAAAAAGCAGCGTTATCGTTAGATGCTGAAAGATTAAAAGAAGATCAAAATATATCTGATTGTAAAATGTCGTGCGCCTGTTATAAAATTTATGGGTTAGTTTTCCGAACTCCGTATGCAGAAAACTAGGCATTTAACTTTTTAGACAAATCTTATTAAAATTGTAGTAAAACATCCTATTTACACATGACGGCGTAAACGTCACTTAGTCTCCGCTGAAGTGACAGGTAAGCGTTTACGAGTTAAATAAAGACAAGACTTGTAGTCTGACGATTATTTGTCAAATCTATTATTGGAGTGTGAAGCAGCGCATACCAATATAAAATTTTCCCTTAGCGATACATATAAATCTATTAAACCTATACTACATATACTCCAATACTACATTGTCGGAGCTGCCTGTAATCGATTTTGTATCGATTTCTCACGAGTAGCGTTTGGCTCTCTAGTGGGAACTAAGACTATGCTTTCAGCTTTGAAACAATCATAATAAAATTCTTTATTACGTTGTGCGGGAAGGTGCATTCCACGTGTTACATTTACGTGATATCGTGAGGGCTATTGACGGTGTGGATTATAAGTATAAGACCTAGAAGACTATATTTCTAGATTTCTACTACGTTCCACATTATATGTTCATTCCTTCCGTCACTCTATCGCCTTGGTCGATACTGGCCCTTAGGATGCGACTGTTGTCTTCAACTGATAACAGCATCAACGGTGAAAGGGGGTGCTGATAATGATAACTTTAAGGTGTTCTTATCTAAGGGAATTAGAGATGATCGGATCAGTATCCCAGAGCCCGTAGTATTTATTAGATTGGAGTTGAGCTGACCTTAGAACGTCACAGATGGTACTTTCTTACGCCGGAAAAAATGCTCGAGGTCTGGCCGAGATCTAAGAAGACAACCTGCAACTGTTTTACACGCGTTTTGCGAAACGGCAACAGGTCGACGGATGTCTACACTCCCTAAACCACGGTGGGGGCTACGTTGCTTTTTTTTTCGGGCAGAGTGCTTAGTGCGAATTTTTTAAAGATCTCGATAGCGTAAAAGTTATCCCAATTTTTTATGCAGTTGGAACAGCGCCCCTAGCGGCAAACATAGGCAAACGATCCCATTCCATTCTTAAATATGAGGTAACTTTTACGCTATCGAGAACGTTAAAAAACTCGCACTAAGCAAGTCGAGGGCCGAATCTCAAGGTTGCCGCTTAGGTGGCGCGCGGAGTATGTGGGTCTTGACGGGACCTCCTCAGGTAGCCCTGTGATCATCACCGGGAGGAGACAGACTCCTTACAAACTACGTGACTAATTTAACCCAGTGTAGCATTATTGTACGCGAGTAATATCTAACACAGAAATTAAGTCCTTCCAAGGAAATCGTACTACTGGGTTTTTGATGAGTAAATATTTAGTTTAAATTGTTATAAAACTTTGGATAAAGGAACATAGTTATCCGAAAATATATTATAGTTATTGGTAATGTAGTCTTAACTTCAGATGTAAAACACAAAATTATACGCCCAGTATATTTAACGTTCCATTAAGTCGTATATAAAGATAATTTGCCTTTTGATCTATACAATTTACCTACTCTCCTGGCTTTATATGTCTGGAAATCGCAAACGATTCAATGTTCAATGATAAATCCAATCAGAGGACTGAATTATACCAAACAGAATGAGTTACATGGCAGTTAATCGAATGAATAGGAGTTCGTATACACATACATTTACTAGTACCGAAGAACTTCCTATTGACACAGAAATAATAAATATAACTACATATTAATTTGAGTTTATACTAAAATATGTCCATTATTTGTTACTTTCTTTAAATCACAGATTACTTCGAGAAAATACACAAAATGCTTTCTACGTACGTGTAATAAGAATTAAAACCTGCAAAATTATAATTTGCGTAATTACTGGTGGTAAGACCTCTTGTGGGTCTGCACGGGTAGGTACCACCACCCCGCCTATTTCTGCCGTGAAGCAGTAATGCGTTTCGGTTTGAAGGGTGGGGCAGCCATTGTAATTATACTGAGACCTTAGGACTCAATCCCAAGGTGGGTGGCGGCATTTACGTTGTAGATGTCTATGGGCTCCGGTAACCACTTAACACCGGTGGACTGAGAGCTCGTCCACCCATCTACGCAACAAAAAAAATAGTTTAAAAAAATAGTTTGTTTGAACTGTACGTTGTACAAAGTTTTGAAAAATATATAAATGAGACAACATATATGTACCTAGTATGTAACAGTAATGTACTTTAAGTACAATATTCTGAT